CCGTGAGGCGTGAACCATGCCCAACCTGATGCTGTTCTCTTTGTGGGAACAGAAGCAAAAGCGAGCCGCGGCCAGCGCACGAGATGGCGAGGCCGTCCTTTTCCCCGTGAAGGCTGGCACTCTGGCAGTGGCAGCCAGGCGCATCACTTTCTTTCGATCGCACCCGTCGCCTGAGCCCTCAGCAGCAGCTTTTCCCCTATACGATCACTCACTCCTGCCCATGCCATGCACTCATGCACACCTCTTTTGTTTGAGCCATCCATCAATCAATCGGGTGTGCCTACGACTTTTTGGGCCAAAAGAGGTTGCTTCTCTGCCATACTTTTCAGAGGTCTAGGATAGATTCCCGGGTCCCCCGTTTTGAGGGGCTGGAAAATGGAGAGAGCAGTGGTTGGGTTTTTTTTTTTTTTTTTTTGACGAAAGTAGCTACTGCTGTCGAGTAAAGATCGGAACTCGAAAGCGTCCATTGCTCTCAATCAAGGTTGGAAACTTGTTGGAATCAAGTACGGTACTGCACGTCGTCCTGGCGTTCGGTGACCCAACAGTTTGTCAGATACTACGAGTACATATAACTTTCTCATTTGTTCAGGACATCGGGTGCGACAGAGTTCACTTTGGCTCGATGGGTTTTTTTTATAGCATAAGACTGTCTCCAACGACCATGACTTAAAATACAAAACACATTCATCTTTTAAGGTAGCTACAGGTAAAAAATTTAATACCTATTTTTTATCTTCCCCAACGATAAAACCCAAAAGACAATCATTTCTGCAAATGGGTCTCCAGAGAGAGGATACTCAGATTTGGGTTATGTCTCTCTCTGACATCCAAAATAGGTCTTCCATATAGATACTTTATTGGAGGCTATAGATATTATGTTGTAAACCCATTTTAGGTTTGGGTTCCGCAATGAGTCTGCTCTCGTAGACAGCATAAGGAGAGATGGTTTGGCAGGGCCCGATCTCAATGCGTCAATCGTATCCAGAAGTTCGTGGTGTTCATATTCGTGGTCTATGTAGCATCAAGTGACGGGCACTGCATTGTGGTATCTCCTTTCTCGCGGGGGACTTGCAAGTGCGCACTACCGCTATATCCATCCAGCAAGTCAAGAAGTGCCGATGGCAGCACGGCACTCATGGCGAAAAGCATAGACCATCGCATCTTGGCGCACTCTGCAAAGAGTTCCGTCGCGCGCGGTTGTGTGTGTCAAAATGTAGAAGAAGCACGATCGTGATCGGCCGATAAAAACTGCTTTCCTGTAGTTACTATATAAGGGTCCTGTTCGCTGAGCTGATAAGTCATGACTAAATATTATATTGATTGATTTATTGTTAGAGAAAAATATATTTCGTTGGTTGAAAAATACGGCTTTTATAAACCAAACGAAGAGGGCGAAGATAAACCATAGGCTACAACTGTCCTAGTCTCTCTTTGACTGCTCTACACACACAAACACGCAGATAAACCATCAGAAGCAGCGTCACCCTGATGCATGATCCCGAAATTAAAGCCTCGCGTGGACATGCACGGCCATGCATGAAACGAGGAGAAAATCTTGGCCGAGGCAAACTACCAAAGCCATTCACATCGCCACTCACGCCATCGCCCCACAGGCGATATTTCCTCCTGCCTGAAGAAGTGAAGATGAACACGAGGGGCGAGGGCATCGCATCTAGAACGTCGAATTGACACCACGCGCGCACGCCGCGGCGCACGAATATGTGAGCAGTACTAGTACCCTGCGGCTAGGCTAGGCTAGGCTAGGCTTTCAGGCCACGTTTAGTTCCAAAAAAAAGTGCTACAGTAGCCATCATATCGAATCTTGCGATATGTGCATGGAAGCATTAAATGTAGATAAAAAAAAACTAATTGCACAGTTTGGTTGAAAATCGCGAGACGAACGTTTTGAGCCTAATTAATCCATAATTAAACACTAATTATTAAATAAAAACAAAAATATATATAACCAAATTTTCAAATTTCACGAACTAAACAAAGCGGCTAAATCCCTGGACCTGGAGGAGTAGCCTTTAGGCGAGCCTCCAACTGCAGCACAGCATCTATCGCTAGGTAGCCGCACTTTAGGACCTCTCGCGGTCGCAGTCCTCCTTACTTTAATCTGCCCGTGGGCCCCGGGACGGTTCCTAAAGCGCGGCTCTGAGCTGGACTGCCGGCTCGCTGGTGCTGTTTCCGACGGCCCAGCGCCTGCCGCGTTTCGCCACCACACAAGTCCAGCTTCACCGGACGCTTCCTGTGATTCTGTGAGCTCCAGCTCCAGCCAAACGCGAACATGGCTCTCCGGCTCCGCCTCCGGTAGTTCCTTCCTGCGGAACGTGAACATGCACCATTATTCGCGGCAGTACAGCTGCATCTGAAGTTCTGAACGAGTATTTTATCAACGGGGTAGCGTAGAGATTGTGTTTTAGATGTCGTGCACATGCATCCTTACGGCACGGAAATCGCAAGTAATATGTCCATCGATCGGTGCTCCTGATCGTTCGTCAGAAGCTTATACTATAAATTAACGCGAGTGTGAAGAACGGTTCGTCAGTTTCGTGGAAATGAAACGAAATGAAATTGCCGTGACGCCGACGTACAGCTCTTTCTTGGTAGTCAACGCACAGCTCTTTCTTGGTAGTCGACGTACAGCTCTTTCACATTAAGCTAAGGTCTGCATTTTCATATACTGTATTACGTCTGTATCATACTACGTGCCAGTTGGCGTCGTTGTTGACAGCAGGCTCTAACTTGCTTGAAAGGGCAATCTATCTAGATGAAAAGCAACCCCTTCCTTTTCTTTTTCTTTTTTGAAAAGAAAAACTCATGGGAAGAAAAGGTTTTATAACTGGGACAAACTATACAAATTTTTTGTTTGGTTCGCTTGCATTGCTAATTAGTAAACTATGGCAAGTAACCATGGTTACGCTATCGGGCTACCATGGATACTTTGTGGCTAAATGTTTTGGATATGATGGGTGTGAGTTTAAATACAAGGATATCGTATTCTATGGAGGGTGATATACTACCGTAAAAACAAATACTGGGATGTCGTTATTTCCGCGGGAAGACAGCTGTTAAAAATGCTATTTTTTTGGAATAAAAATGCTATTTGTTTTAAAATAAAGAACAAACTTCACATTGTGCATCATGCTTTCGTAGTTGCGCCCATGTATACTCATTGAATTTTGGCGTCACATGGCGAGTGCAGGTGTTACATGTGTTTTTTTGGAAAAAAAAAAGAAAACATTTAGCATTTTGTTCGTTATTCTAGCTTTTATTTGTATGTCACGGTTGTATACACTTCCCGTATTTTGTGTCGGTTGTTGCGCATAACATTTCTAAGTATGGTTTGTACTCTCATGTTGAATTTTACTCGTACCCACAATACTGTGTCTTTATATATATAAGATCTCCACTTCTTCTCTTAGCGAAATTCTATCTAGTGCATGCATAGCCGAGGTGATATGCTTCCGTGACTTGTTTTTCCCCATTGCTAAGAGAAATCAAATAATACCTCACGGTTTCAACAACACACAAACATTTTTTTTCATATTTATAAGCACGGTTCGAAAAATACATATAGACTTCTTCGGTGACAACCACGGTCACCAATATAAAGCCATCTTCATCCAGGTTGGCCAACAAACCTATCTAGATGTAGCATTGTCTTTGTTGTTGGGTCTAAACTGTTTGTAACATGGGTTAAAGTTGAAAGGAAAATTATAGTTTTTCCTTACCTTTGTTCTACGCTATATGGTTTAATGATTTTCTTCGTTTTTCTTTGAAAGCAATGTTTTTCTTCTTGGGTAAGGGTGTGCTGCAATTGCAATACCTTATGAATTAGTACTATCTTTATAGTTATTACCAGCTTCTAGAGCGTTGATTTTTTGGAAGAAAAAAAAACTCGTTTTGTTCAAAAGAAAACCAGAGACCAAATTCACAGGAGTGATTCTAGCACTCGGACCTCTAGCGCGCGAGTTCGTCCGGACACCGGTCCTTTATGGAACCCCGTCCACCCCCCGTGCATGGAACGGAATAGAACGGGATCTGCCCCTGTCCTCTGTTCCCCAACACACCCCGTTCCCCTACCGTGCTCCTGTCTCAAAAAGAGCATGAAACACTTCAACTGCAACATTGCAAAACATATGGAAAAAATATGTAGTGCAACATCGAATTGTAAATACTACAACATCGAATAAATATGTAGTGCAACATTGAAAAACATGCACTGCAACATCGAAAAATATGTACTGCAACAACGAAAAATATGTATTGTAACATTGAAAAAATATGCTGCAACATAAACGAAAAATATGTACTGCAACATCGAAAAATATATACAACAACATCGAAAAAAACATGTACTGCAACATCGAAAAAACATGTACTGCAACATAAAAAATTATGTGCTGCAACATCGAAAATTATATGATGCAACATCTCAAGCAGTAGTACTGCAACATCACAAAAACATCTGTTGCAACGACTCAAAAATCCCATTGCAACATTCGAAAATCATTTGTTGCAACATCTCAAAACACCCGGTGCAACACAGGGAGAACCAATCCTACAAAAAAATCTCTGGCACATGACATCGCGGCGCTGTCCAACTCCAACCGGGGGTGCCCGGCCCGGCGAGCTGCTTGCTTTTATTTATACGAGCCCCATGGCCGCTTGCATCAGTCGTTTGCCCCTGTGGTCTCTCCCCTCTCTGGCTCTCCCACATCCGTCCTGCACTCCTGCTCAACAAGGAGGAAGAGAGGGACTCCACTACCACACCACTTGCTTCGCCTTTAGAGCACGACTTACGAAGAGTGTCCAGGCCATCGCCGCCGACCAACAAAAGGGCCGGAAAGCCCCCTTGTTTGTGCGTGCAACTAGCCATCCTGCCATCTTGCTTTCCAAGAGTCCTCCTGCCCCTGCCCCAGTCTCATAATTGCTTAGAATAGAATCACCACCATTTCCGAATCCTTCCAGAGCTGCCCAAGTGCCGATCAAAGATGAAGAGGCAATCCAAGAGGCCCACCGCCAGCCGTGAATCCCCAGAAACAGGTACTACAGAGCATGCTGTTGCTGCCTGCGAGGTCTTTTCTGTACTTCTTGCATCCGTGGACAATGAAAGTATGTGTGCTTTTGACATTTGATGAGTTCGGCTGCCGGAGCCGCTAAGTCCGGCTGCCGCTGGTTTAGGATAAGTCCGGCTAGCGTTGGTTTGAGAAAGAAAAATACTGTTAACTGACGACTAAGCTCTTAAACCAACGAGCGAACAGTACAGTGTTGTTTCTGCATGCATTCCATTTTTGCATTTGGTTAGCTCGCTGTCACAAAGCTGCAGAAAGAATGTTCTTTGCATTTTCGGGAAATTCGAGCGCCTGGTAGTTAAATCGCACGCGCGTATTGCAGGGGAGAAGCTAGCGTTCGCGGAGGAAGAGGCCCTAACGGCGCGGAAGATGGAGGCCGAGATGGACGACGTGGACGAGGAGGAGGAGGAGGAGCTGGCCGGCGGGCGCGGCGCGGCGCGGTCGGCGTGCGGGCTTGGGGAGAAGAAGCGGCGCCTGTTGCAGGAGCAGGTGCGCGCTCTGGAGCGGTGCTTCGAGACGGACAACAAGCTGGACCCGGACCGCAAGGCCCGCATCGCGCGCGACCTCGCCCTACAGCCGCGCCAGGTCGCCGTCTGGTTCCAGAACCGCCGCGCCCGCTGGAAGACCAAGACGCTGGAGCGCGACTTCGCGGCGCTGCGCGCGCGCCACGACGCCCTCCGCGCCGACTGCGACGCGCTCCGCCGCGACAAGGACGCCCTCGCTGCCGAGGTATGTGATTGCTGTCACCGCCGGTCAGCCGTCTACTCTCTTCGTCTTGTCGGGGACACAGCGTGTCACTCACTGATGTGTCGTTTCGGCGCGCGCGCGCGGTCCTCAGATAAGGGAGCTGAGGCAGAAGCTGCTGTCCAAGGCGCCGGAGGCTGCGGTGAAGCTGGAGGCGACGGGCAATAACACGGCGGAGGAGCGCCAGGCGACGGCCGGCGCGCCGCCAGCGGGGGTCTGCAAGGACGGCTCCTCGGACAGCGACTCGAGCGTGGTCTTCAACGACGTGGAGGCGTCGCCGTACTCCGGCGCGGCGTTCGAGCAGCCGGCCTTCATCGGCTTCGGTGCACCGTTCTTGGACATGTCGGCGGCGGCACCAACAGGCTGCTCGTCTCCCCCCGTGTTCGAGACCAAGTGGCAGCACGGGCCGACGACATACCCTTTCGACTCGTACAAGACCTGCGCCGGCTATGGCTTCACGGAGGAATGGCTCGCCAACTCGGACGTCATCGGCAACGACGGCGCGGCGGGCTTCTTCTCCGAGGATCACGCCTCTAGCCTCAACTTTAGCTGGTGCGCGAGTGGGGGCGTCCAGGGCTGGGAGTGAGCGAGGATTTTGATCTGCAAGGTTAGTGTAAAAACCGATGTCATGTAACGCTGGCATTGTACATGCATGGAACTGGACTTCCAACAAGGCATAGCTAGTGGCCAAAGCTGGCGGACATCCAACGGAAGGCGGGAACAGGAGCTATGAGGATGTAATGTAAAAAGTTAAAGGTAAAAAAAGGAGGCCGTCGTACCACTACCACTTGGATGCAATGCAACGATTCGGCACCGAGAGCATCTAAATAAGCAGGCTGCAATTAGGGTTTAAGATACCGGATAAAATAAGTCGCATCTCTAATCAAAATAAGTGCTCTAGTACTTTTTTACATTTGAAATTAACGTCGTTCCAAAATATAAGACGCCGTTGTCTTTTTAGATATATTATTTTTATTATGTACTAGCTCCCCGGTTCGAAGCAGCCTCTTCACAAATTTTGCGGAGGAAGACTTGTCTCGGTTTTTTCCTTTTCCAGACCCTACTCATGTGAGAACCTCCAGCACTAGATCTGTTTTCTTTTTTATGTATTTAGATATAGTATATCTAAAGACCAAGTAGTAAGATACATCGTGGATGAGAAAGGAGAAACAGGTAATAGCACTATCCAACCATAGCACTACTATCTGGTAAAATAAAAAATAAAAAAAAACGTATTCTATCTCTCACCCTCGCTGCCGCGGCACCATGCCTACCATTGAGAGTCATATCTATTTGTACTATTTCTTTTAAGAGATGGATCATATATCTAGTATAATTAGAATGAGATTCCCAGAACAAGAAACCATATTAACATGGTTTCCTTTTTTTCCCCATTCTGGAAATGCATCTTGAGGCACAAGTATGACTTGTTTCATAGTTGACCTTTTGTTTTTAGGATTGCTATGTAAATTATAGAGCCTGTTTGTTTGGTTGCTTGAGTGTGCAAATCTAAAACTGAGCGTGGTCTGACTCATCTATTTTGAGGATGAAGCCGAATCTTTTCTGTTTTCTAAAAAAGGTAGATCGTTATATTTTTCATCTAGCATCTATATAGCATTTACACAAATAAAGCATGTCATAGTTGTGTTTGGTTCAACTTTTAAAAAGTGCTTCTACCGAAGAAGAAAAAAAGAATGCTTTTCGTGTAGTATAATTTTCGCAGCATCTTTGACCTGCTTTTGGCAAAAATGTGAAAGTTGTGCTACCGTGAGCATTCTAAACTTTTGATTTGGTGCTTCCACTTTATAACTTTAATCTAGGACGTATTCCGGCTACGTTTGGAATGATGTTCTATAAATGCCTCTGTTCTTCGTTTGGGAACTAAAGTTCCTACATCGGCTCTGTTCGCTGGGAGGAATTTGGAGGAATTTGTATGAATCTAGAGAAATTTATGAGAGAGTGAACAGTGTTTTTTTATCCGCGCAGTGAAATCCGGCTGGTTGAACGAGCCCATCGTGGAACCATGCCATGTTCCAGGCTGCCATGGGCAGGGCAATGGTTGTGGGTTGCCCAGTTGAGTGACGAGAGTGCCGCTGTGAATTAGGCTACTGATTTATATTGGTCTAATGAGTCATCAGTGATTTATTATCAAATAATGACTTTTCATTTATCAATAAAATAGCTATTTCTGATTACCTTAAAGAAGATTTATATAAGTTTTGTACTATATGTACAAATATATTACTCCACGTTTGAACACGACTTCAAACTACTTTGTCTCCTTGCTACAGAATTGCTGGAGAAGTGCTAGTGAGGCTAAAAATAGTAGTTTTATTAGTTCCTAGCTTATTTTGAGAAGAGAGATAAAAATAATCCTTGCTACAATGTATAAACACTATTACACATATTCTTTTGCGAGGCGTTTACAAACGGGGCTCCGAGGCGGGCGGCGGCTCGCCTAGGTTATTCGAGACTAGGCAACCGGGCCAGCAACCGCCTCTGTTAATACTTAACCGAGGCGAGCAATGTAATGAAACCGTCTCGGTTAATACATTAATCGAGGCGGGCGACGGTTGCCCTAAGGCAACTAATTAACCGAGGCGGGCATTGTAAGAAAACCGTCTCGGTTAATGCTTATTAACCGAGGCGGTCGCTCCAACACAACCGCCTCCACAAATCAGGTGCGCCCTATTGGAAAGAATTGCAGCGTGCAGTTGGATCAGCCGATGCCCCAGATCGCTGACGTGGAGTCCTTGGACGGCTGAATCGGAGGCCACGTGGAGTCATCTCGACCGTCAATTCGTTTGTGCTTCTTCACTGAGAATGATAGGCGAGCCCCACGTGACATCATCTCTAGCCTAATCGAGACATATCTCCCCTCCCTCTCGCGTACGCCCACACTCCCTCCCGACGATGTGCATCTCCGTCTCTCCCTCAGCGCCCTTCTCTCTCCATCGGCGCCCTCCACCTCCATCTGCGCGCGCGCCCTCCACCTCCGTACGACCCCTCCCCTTCAGAGCCCGACGGCACTCCTCTCCTCCCGAGCACGACGACGCATGCTCTCCCTCCCGAGCACGATGGCGCACCTCTCCATCACGACGCGAGGAGGCTGGATACGGCCGCGTGGTGTGGAGCGGCGCGGTGGCCGCACGGTGCGGGGCGCACAGTGGCCGTGGTGGCACGGGATGGTGCGGTGCGGGGTGCGAGGTGGCGAGCAGTGCAGTGGCCATGGTGGCGCATAGGCCCAGGCGCAGCCTCCCTCTCCTCCGAGCGCGGCGCGACGTCCCTCTCCTTCGAGCGTGGCATGGCATGGCCTCCCTCTCCTCCGAGCTCCCGGCGTGGATTCGGCCTCCAACCGGCCACCGCGCGGCAGATCCGGCAACCAGAGGTGGTGGGGGCGTAGATCCGGTCGCCAGTAGCAGCGGATTCGGCCAACTGCGGCTGCAGGTGCATGGATCCAGCCACTGGCGGCTGCGGGGGCGTGGATCCGGCCACGAGCAGCGGCGACGTGCGGGACCGGGCTCGGTGGGCTTTTTTTTATTTCCTGAAATTATTTACGGAGGCGGGCTACTTAACCCAACCGCCTCGGTTAATATCTATTAACCGAGGCGGTTGTTTAAAGCCGTTCGCCTCAGTTAATCGATTAACCGAGGCGGTTGGTCAACTGCCTCGGTTAAGGCCACGATTAACCGTGACCTTTCGACCGAGGCGGTTGGCTTGCCCGCCTCGGTTAAGCCCTTTTGCCCGCCTCGGTTAAATTTTGTGCGGTAGTGAGAGAAATCGGAACCGCTGCCAACTGGAATTCTACCAAACAGGACCAACATATGACAATAATTAATGGGATACATCAATTGTTGCAATAGTAATATAGTCCAAAGTTCTGAACGAACTCCAAATATCAAGTTGATCGCTTGTTCGATACAAAACTGGTTAATGCTTCACTGGTTCACTACAAATGTGCCCGATTTGAAGAGTTCACACCGTCTCAATTCTATAGCTGGTCTTTAAGATGAACCAAACCGATAAGTCTATCAGCTTATTGGGATTTTTTTTCAAGAACCTGTCTCCTTTCTGTTCTATGCTCTAAAGTCAGACAAGTGAAAGGTCCTAATGGCTAGAGGGGGGGTGAATAGCCTATTAAAAATTTCTACAACAACACTTAGCAAAGATATTAGACAATTAAACGGCTAAGCGAGTGTTGCGCTAGTCTACTAAAAGTGCAAGCGACCTACCACAATTCTAGTATCTATATTCTCTATCCACGCAGGCTATGCCACTACACTAAGTTAGTGAGCTCTCAAAGACTAACTAAAGAGCCTCACTAACCACTAGATCCGATGCAAACTAGCTCTCAAAACTAATTACACTAAAGAGCTTAGCTTACACACTAGGAATGTAATACAAGAGAGAGGATGCGATGATTATACCACCGTGTCGAGGAATTGAGCCAATCACAAGATGATCACAATGAAAACCAAGAAATCCTCGGACAATGATGGCAAAAGATTTTTTACCGAGGTTCACTTGCTTGCCGACAAGCTAGTCCTCGTTGTGGCGATTCACTCACTTGGAGGTTCGCGCGCTAATTGGCATCACACGCCAAACCCGTAACCGGGTGCCGCACAACCAACACAAGATGAGGATCACACAAGCCACGAGCAATCCATTAGAGTACCTTTTGGCTCTCCGTCGTGGAAAGGTCAAGAACCCTTCACAATCACCACGATCGAAGCCAGAGACAATCACTAACCTCCGCTTGATGATCCTTGCTGCTCCAAGCCGTCTTGGTGGTGGCAACCACCAAGAGTATCACCTTGTGCACGTGTGATAGCATATTTTTACAAACATTTTTAAGGGTGTTAGCATTCTCTAGAATCTAAATACATATGCAATGAGTTAGAGCATCTAGTGGCACTTTGATAACCGCATTTCGATATGAGTTTCACCCATCTTAATAGTACGGCTATCGATCCTAAATGTGATCACACTCGTTAAGTGTCTCGATCACTAAACCAAAAAGCTTCTATGGAATTTCACCTTTGCCTTGAGCTTTTTGTTTTTCTCTTTTTTCTTTTCCAAGCCGAGCACTTGATCACCACACCATCATTATGATCTTCACCGTTGCTCCACCACTTGGAATATTGCTACCTATCTCAAGATCACTATGATAAAGTAGGTTAGCACTTATGGTTTCATCAATTCACCAAAACTAAACTAGAGCTTTCAATCTCTCCATTTTTTGTAATTGATGACAACCCTTTCACAAAGATATGAATAGAAATTCATTTGAATCCATGTTGCTTGCCCAAGCATATTTACCTTGTGTAAAAGGATATGGACAAGTTTCATGAACCCCAATTAGTAGCATTAGCTCCCCCTATATATGTGCTAAGAGTTTGGATTGAAGCTTGCACATGCACGGATTGAAAATGTGGGAGAGCAATGTGTACCAAATGATGCTAAGGTATAAGAGATGGACCTTTGAAGCGTGGTACCAATCGGAGTGCACCACAAATAACATCCTTAGCACCATTAGTAACTAGACATACACAAAAACTAGAATACCCGGTGAGATCAACATTAGAA